GTATTCTCGGTGTACCCATGCTATTGGGTAATACCTCCCTAATCCTTCTAATCAGATTATGAAGATAAGCTAAGATAACTAATTAACAAGTACTTTCTTATGCGGCGGATAGTGCGGTGCACAATCGCATAAAAAAAGACCGCACAAAAACAAGCTTGTGCGTACAGGCATCTGTCGTATAACAGGGTACTTATCAACCTCGGTTTCGATGCAACACGACACAAAATTTACAATTGTTATAACACTGTTTTGATATAAGGCGACTTCACAAAAAGGAGTTTGAAAAATGGGACACGATTAGTTGTGCATGATGATGTTGATGAAACTTAACATTGCTAACTTTATTTTTTTTAATATGTTTTTATCTTTCACATCACATCATAATAATTAATTTCATACGATTTGTTTATAAAAACTTGAAGCTAACTTTTTTCTCATTTCATATTTGGAATGAAAGTTAAGCTATCACGGAATTTTACACCTTAAAACATGTTTTCGAAATAACACCATAAATGTTGCCTGGGTTTATATGAAGTCGCGAGTAACACGACTTCGATATAACATAAAACAAATTTCTATACAACACGGTACACATTGCCTTAATTTTTCTTATATCTAACTTTAAATTGTCTTATTTTATATTATACCGTTTAATAAGGTTTCGATGCAGTATGGTACGAATTGGCGGTGGTATACGATGGAAGCCTGCAGTTCCATGAATGGGTCAAATATTTGTTACGCGAAGCTAAGCAAAGTACTATGTAACGAGGCACTGTCACTGATATACGAGATAACTTGCAGTCTGCTTATGGTTTGCTAACAAACGCTACCAGTAACCGCGAAAAGCAGTCGATGGAGATGCATATTCGTTCCAACGTTTAATATTTTTAAAATCATAAATATTTGTCACAAAGCGTAATAATTGAAATATTCACCATCACTATACACAAGTTAACGTTGGATACTTTTTGGTTCCTGGTCGAAATAATTATGGATCTCTTCTCTCACTCTTTTCGCATATCTTCAACTATTGTGAACCGCCGATCTGCCGTGAATCGATCTGAACCACATCCAGACGTAACCGGAAGAAATGAGGTCTGAACAATGCGCCAGAATCGAGAAAAGTTCCCAATTCAAGTTGTAAATCACTTCTTGGGTTAGTTTTACTGGAGACGAGCACATGCACCGGAGATTTAACCGGCTTCAAGACTACAATTTTTTTCACCAAATTTTAAAAACAACTTTGTACCCGTTTCATAGCTTACTGCATTGTCGTATCAAGCTAGTTTAATCATTTCATTGGCTTCAGTTAAAATAAATGCTGCAGGTTGACATTCATTTCTTTACGCTTCTATGTACACTGACTAATGACTTGTGATCAACTGGAACTTACACCGCGTACGCCTTAACGTCCAAGCTATGTGTACCCAAAACCGAATATATTTTATAAAGCAATCAATTTCAACCGAGAGAATTTGTTCATATTCCTAGCATTGCTCATTGCTACTTAAAGGGCTGTATATTTTGAAAAGAAGATGAGGCAAAGATGAAATCGCAATCGAAACAGCAGAACGTTTATGGTTGTGACTCGAGTTAAAAATGTTGGTAAATGCCGTTTATGACATTAAAGAAGGGGTGTTTTGTTTTCTGCTCTCTGCACTACTTCATGTCTGCATATGTTTTTATTCAAAACAACAGAAGCTTATTAGTAATCACTCACTACGATCTAAACCAAATATAATTTATTTTCTATTTCTATTTACTAAAGATTAGATATTGAAAAAAGTTGTATTTTTTTCGTAATAAAAGTGTCTGCACTTAATAAGCTGATGAAGAAGAGGTTGTATTTCATTTTCTAACGACACTCAAAGGCACATCCACTTAATATCTCGATCGGGGTCATTGTGATGCAGCAAGGATAAGCCACATCTGCCGCTGTGTAAAAGAGTTACGAACCAAACAACGATGGAAACAATTGCAATCTATAGGTTGTACGTGTATTTTTTCTTACACTCTGCTTACAAACGATTCGAATTGCAATAGTAGTCGTGTTGATGAACAGTTGGTGCATTATCCTGAGTTTGTGTAAATATCGACATATTTGCTAGACTGGAGAAAATCTACTCAATGTTTTTAAAAGCCATTCGTACATAAGTTGCAAAAAAAAAAATTTAGTTTCATCGATGTCATGTCTGTCATTTTAATATGCCTGGCACTTTAATCTTTTTAAGCAGTTTTTTTTTTTTCTAGCCAGGGTTTTCGTTTTGTCACATCACAAGACTGCAAAGCAATAAAAAAAAAAACTTAAAATGTGCGCTGGTGTTTGCAAACAAATAAGGCCATCGCTGTAGTTTATTATTTGTATTGCTGTAGCAAGAAAAGCATGCGAACATAAAAACCTAAAAATTTAATTTAAATAAATTTTCTTTGAATGTTCCTCTGAAGCAGATTGTGAATTATCTTGCAAGCAAGAACAATAATTTTTCATATCCTTGAAAATAAGCGGAACAAGCGGCGAAGAGAGTTCCTCAAGAAGAACATGCCGAAAGCATCGAAAGTCATCCTCTTGCCGACTGCCTTACTTCTTAATCAGCTGCCATGGAGATCCAAGACTTCACGCAACTCAGTAACGTTATTGAGCGACCCAGACAAATGGTAGTGTGATTGTATACCTGGCTGTATTGCTGACTCTTCGCTTCTCCTTAGACATTAAAAATCCTTGGAGAAGAAGTCGATTGGCAGCCCAAGGACTGTGCATTCAAGTCAAACATTATAATCCAAACTATGGAGTTTCGGTCTGCGCACTTATTATGCCACATACACAACGTATACCCGGAGTCCTAAACAGTTCGTGGTGCTAGATAAGCCAAAATAGATTTACCTGGCACCCATAGCAGAGCTTGAAGCACACACAATCTCACACACCCGCATCAAGACGAAATATGCAGACCTTCTGAGGAATGCAAAACTGCCTTCCAACTTGGGGCCGCAAGTCATCATTTCCATATCATTCTATAACTCCAAGAGTTTCGTCTGGTTAAGCTTAATAACACTTGCAGAGGTAAAAACACCAACAAAGGTATCCATATGCACACACGTGCTTTTGTGATGCAGTGTAATATACAAACATTCACTTACGGTTACTTTAACACAAAGTTTCATAATTGACTTGGGGTTTTTTGTTGATGTGTTCGGTGGATTTGATTTAGGTGAACTCTGCTTGAAGCTTTGGTTCTCAGTTGATAAAATACCTTAAGGTTAGAAGAATTATTGGTAGGTTGCTGAGCACACAACTAATAAGCGAATATGTGGCAAGCAAAACTTAAACTTGCGATATCCGACGCTCCTACAAGATGGTTGATCAAAATGATAAAATTGTATAATAGTACGGTACTGTCAGAGAAATGACATCTGCAGGAAGCATGAATTTCGCCTTTTAATAATTCGAATAAAAAAGTATTGCTCGCGAATTGCGAAAGTAATGTAAAGCCTGAGACACACAAAAACGCAGCACAAGTCAGACGAATCGTCAACATCGAAGGGCAGACGGATATATACGCCAACTTGAATGGATTAATATGGTAAAAGCTAGGTCTGTCCAAACTTCTCCCAACAAGTTTTGTATTTCGTTACCGAAAGAGATATGGAGCACGACGACGAATTATATATATTTGAGCCTTTATAAACTCCCCAGTCCCTTTCATTTGTAACGCTCGAAGGAACGTTTTAGAGATACCATAAAGTCTAAGTATTTCTCATCCGTCTGTTCGTTGGTTTGATTCGTCTGGATGTTTTTTTTTTTTGCATATATGGATATAGGATGACATATTGTGGTTCAAGACAAAAGTAGCGCCACTAAAACAACCGAAACTGCTAAAATAATCGCCGCAAAATCATGAAATTTTCACACACTTCTTTTAAAGTCTGCTACTAACTAAAAACCATAGAGATTCGTCAAAGGTAACGACATCTTTATGTCATCTTACGACTTTATTGAGTAATGTGTTTATATATTTTATCACATATAGTATATATACTTAAGTGTCCGAGATCATGTTTGAAGACACGCACACAACACTTTTCGAATAAGAAAGACGTTTAAGATACAAATGTTAGCAGACATTGATTTAAAACATGATAAAGCGTTTATCAGCTTCATTTAAGAGATCGACTTACTGAGAGCTATTTCCAATTTTCCAATTTTTAAGTGAAGGGACGATTTCAAAGTCTCAGTCCCTGAAAAATATAACGTCTTTACGGTCATCTGCTATTCATATGCTTTCGTAAAAAGCCACAGCTCTGGGTGAACCATGTTCAACACTCCCCAGGCTGCGCTTAATATATAGAGATATCATAGGATAACCAAACTTCAAATGCGTCCTGAGGGTTTTATGAAATGTGACAGTCCAAGAATCAAAAAAAAAAAAAAAAAAAGAAGCGGACACACACAATACAGGGACACAGCACAGTTATTTGAATTTAATTTTCAATTTTAAGCTTTCAATAATTTTCACGACCATTGAAATTATCTTTGTACACCGCCCTTATCAGCGAAATGAGTGAATTTGATTATTTGTGAATTGAGCAATAAATCTTTAAGACTCATCAACTTCAATTTTTCTATCTCTCCCGAAACGCGTGTATTGCACTCTATCAATACGAACAACATATTCATTAACATTATCGGAGACTAGAATTGAGTAACTTTTGCAAATCGATAGCAATTGATAAAATTTTATGGTGAGAAAAACGAAAAACTGAATAATAACGTTAACCGTTTTCAATTATTGCCAATTTAATTAGAAGTTATATACGCTCCATTCATGGAGGATCTAAACAAGACACAAACTAAGCGTTTAATTGAATGAAAATTTATCCAAATGTGAGAATTTAATTCACGTATCATGATATCTACGTAAAGTGTAATAAGATTGCTATGCAATAAAAATATAAAGGCAAAATCAAATAAAAAGAAATTTCAAAATAAATATTAATAAAGTTCAAAGTGTTTCTGAGTGCGAACAACAAACAAAAAAAAAAATGACAAATCAAAGTACTACCGTAAGTGTTCAACGATATCAAAATTGCATTCTTATTTGTTCTTTCATTGTGTTGTTAATTAGAAGAAATTTCTAATGAACATTTTCGTTTACGTGTTTGCAAAAGCAAAAAGAGTGATTGTGTGTGTGTATGTGCGTTAAGATACCTCTACTAAGGAAATACAATTAACATGACGTGGCATTGATTAGTTGTTGCATATCTTATCGACTTTTCGATAAAATATTTGAACATATTTGAACAAGAAGCTCATTAGTACTTTGAGAAAATTTCAGTAGTAAAGTTTGCCTTTGCTTCAATTAAAGTCATCGGACTTTGAAAATAAAGGGAAAAAGGCACATTATAATAATTACCACCAGAAAGCTCCAACCCGCTTAGAAATATGCATTGACGATGCAGTAAAGTCATATTTTTGCTTCGTATCGAGTTTCGAGTCTGTCTATGCGTGCATTTATTAGGATCGCGATTGCAAAGAGAGGGAAAACTCAGTATACTTAAACGTTCTTGTTTGAAATGAGAAAACCTATAGAAACGACAATTCATAAACACTACAAACAAAAAAGATAGCTTATAGCGCGAAATGTATAGGCAGGTGGACAAAAAAAATCGATCCACTAATTATGGGATGACGGGGTCTTGAATTGGGAATTGTCATAACGATATCAAACTGTGCAGTCACTAATCGCTATTTATCGAAGATTCGTTTCAAAACGAAATCTCGTCCTTACGATCAAAGAATGGAAGTATGATAGTTTTGTTGCATGTAGGTCAAGGATTGATGGAATTACTCAGCAGCGCAAAGTAACGCTGGCAAAATCGTTTAGTATTTATGTCAACATCCAACGTTCTTCAATTTTCGAAATGGATTTGGTTTTTGGATTAAAGGCTTATGTTAGGCCTTTCGCTTTAGCGACTTTTCCTTTTGAACCGTATTCTGTTTTTTAAATAGAGCCGACAACATCAATTAACTTGTTCGCGTCCTATTCTAGTCCAAAAATTTGTTTCTTCGAGATAAATATATATAGTAATAATAATAACAGTAGTAATGGATAGCCTTCGATCCGTCCGTTGCGGTTATTACCCCAAAAAAAGAAATTGATCATCTGGTGTTCTGTCCACCCGTTCGTCCATATGTTTCGTTTTCTTATGTTCAGCCTATAGGTCGCAAATTTTTGAGATATTTTGATGAAATTAGGCACACTGGCACGTTTTCGCCCAAGGACGAACGCTGTTGAATATGGTTCGGATCGGACCACTTTATCGCCCACTTTTAATACAAGGCGTTATTTGGAAAAGACATCATATGAATAAGTGCATTAAGCGATGTGAGGAAGGATATCTATAGTGCTGTAGCGCTATAGTGCTTGTAGCTCTTTCTGAATACCTTTGTTAGGTTAAATTTACATGCTAAGAAAATCAATTCGCAAATCCATGGATTAGCCAACAATTGACAAAAATTGGATAATATTATGTATGTTTTTTGCGTTATCCCCTAAATTGTCTAAGTTACGCGTCCAAGTTATTAGATGTCGAATCCAAAGTATTTTCATAAACTATATATATAAATAAATATAATAATAGTCGAACCGTCCCCCTCTTATTTTATTTGTCTATCGTTGTTATTTGGAATATGCGAGGCATTTTGGACGGGCGAACCTTTGCTGTTCAATTTAGTGAGACATATTAAGATGTTCGCGTGGAACCAAATCTAACTGACGATTTTGAGATAAGAGTTTTGTTTGATACAATGCAGTTTACGATCTTAGTATCATTCCTTTTACAAAAATGCAAAAAATTCGAAATCCTATATAAGGAAGGATCCGTAAGATAAACGTGTACAGTCCACCTTCGGTAATCTTAATCTCTGTACCAAATTAATGTTATGGACGCATGTCAATTTTGAAGTTAAACTTTGCTGCCTAGCATTTGCATCCACGTTTATATAGAAGGGTATCGGAGAAACGATCTTATCGCAACTAAATATTCCGCATTGTTAGTTGAAATGAAAATGATCGCAAAAATGGTTTAAAATAACGCCCGTCTTTGCTCATCCTGAGCGATTACTTAGTACGATCAAACCTCAATTTAAGACTAAAATTAATAAACTTGACCGACAAGGCGACATAGTAGTTAATCATAAATATCAACAATATTTCTAAATAATAGTGAAAAAAAAAATCTATTCATAAAAGAAGTTGGTCACGTGTAGCCGAAGCTGCATAATGAACGCAGTTTTTTAGAAAACAATTAAGCAATAGCACGTTTGAGAGTAAGAGAAAATGACTGGTTTGCACGTACTTCACTTTTATTGTGTTTAATGAACACTTAAGTAAATGTTTAAAATTTCCGCACGACTTCATACGTCAGTAATTTTTTCATCACGTTATTAATGATGACAAGTTTTGTAGCATATTGTGTTTGTTAAACAATAACATTGTTATTAATACTGTTATTCAATAATACGAAATACATACTGCTGGGCTTAAATAATTACCCGTAAGGGCATTACACAAACATTCACACTTTAATTAAAGTTTGACATCTGTAAAATGATAACAGGGAGATATATGAAACGATAGTATCACAATAATTAAATAAAGATAGGTAAGAATGTAAAGACCGATTGGTTAGATACCTTTACTTAAAAATATTACATATCTTAAGACTAGCTCAGTTCTCATAAGCCAGTTACGGAATGGGTCAGAGTTAAATAAACTTTTTCTCAATACTAAAACTATATATAATAACGTAATAGTTGCATACTCAATAAAATATCGACTAAAATTGTATTCTATAGACACATGGGGTGAAAACATTACCAATACCATACCAATGTTTTCTAGTTGTGCATAGCAAAAAAAAAGACCGCTAAGTCAACTCAACTTTATAAGTGAAACATAATTAATTTAGAAAAACCAAAAAAATATAGTCGGGCAAGGCTTACTATAAATACCGTACACCACCGCGCCTAACATAGTTACTCATTAATTTTCGAGAGAATACATCTGAAAGTATTTTCATGTGAGGGGATACTTTTTATGTAAGTCCTTACAATGGAGAATAACCTAAACGTCAACTGGGGTGCTTTAAGTTGGACAAACTTCATTTCCCTCTTAAGGAGATTATTATTTTTTTTACAAATTCAACTTTGTCGCCATACAAGACCTTACTCATCATAAGATGTGCTGCTGTTTAGGAAATACGCTCATATAGTCGCAAATTTGCTGGAATTGATTTCTAAACCCCCATTTGCTCCTATGTAACAGCTTTTATTATAAAATACTAAAATTTAAGTCTTTTCGACAAATGGCTTATCATTCATGAGGAATCGTAAGTGAGAGACTCGTATGGTTCCAGTTTGGATCAGTTAATTTTTATAACAAATTATTCTTAAAGAAGAATTCCCGTCATGATATAACAAAAAATCGCCACTGGCTTATTTTCTACGAAAACTCTTATATGTGGTGTTCGAATCCAGTAGGATTAATTTCTATGTTAAATTGCTATTCTGAACCAATTTTGACCTTGACACATTAAGAATTAGACCTTTTTATCGTACAAAAATGCAGTTTTCGTTAGAACGATTATATGGAAGGAGGTTCAGAAAATCGCCCTATCCGAATCAAATTTTTCATATCAGCGATTTTTGTCGATGAATTTTAAAAATTACAATATTCTTCCTATAACGGTGTTTTAAAGTAAGACTTTATGTGGGAAGTGGTCGTGAAACTGGTCCTATCCACTTCACTTGGAATAGATGCAAAAAGATGCTGAAGACGGGCACATACCAAGTTACATGCAAATATTTCAAAATTTGTAGGTTAGGCATGAGAGTGAATGGACAGACAACAAAAGAGTTGGCAGACAGGCAGACAGTCAAACATTCGAAAGAAGCATTATCTGAATCGATCGACATAATAATCCTCTTCTTACCTTAAGTCCTTCTGAGTGTTATATCTATCTGCACGAATCTAATACATTCTATACTACAAGTAGCGTGAGATATGAAAACTGCTTGCGATTTAGTCCCCAATGTGGTGGGGCGTTTGTCAATTTGCAAAATTATACGCGCAAAATTATATGTTAAAGACGCCAAAGGCTAAATGCTTTTGCACAACGTAAGGTTTTAAGTGGATTTGGCTATGCTCGTGTGTCTATCCGTTTATTGTCTTCTCTTGATGTAGACAGTTAAAATTTGGCACACAACGCGAAATTGAGCTTCATTTCTTAGGTTTAAATATAAACAATAGTTCGTGTGTACAAACAAGCACTTAATTTTTTAATTTAATATGAAATCTGTAGCAGATTTTACTCTAAACTCTGGCTTAAACTTATTTTTCGGCACATAACGCCATTGGTCAAGTAACTACAACTAATTCAAGTCGCCTTAAGTGCATTTCTAGCTTTTTCTTTACTAAAGTGTAGTTAGTAATAGACAACTGTTTTATGAGAAATTAAATATGAATATTTTTCTTTGTCTTTCGGTGAAGCGATTTCTCCAAAGTCTATAGGACAACAACGTCTATTTTTGGTAGTCTGTAAACAAAATAGGCGAAGGATTGCGTTAAGCGAAGTGTTGCGAAATATTTAACGGTCGATCTTGCCTGACGTTTGCACTTACTTCACTTTGAATTAATTTTTGTGCCGCACACTACTCATCGTAATGATATATTAGGCTTACGTGGGTGAGCGAAACGTTCGCAACGACTTCGGATAGACGCATCTTATTTTGCTAATCGAAATGCAAATCTGTACACACAACTTCTCACAAAGTTAAAATTTTCTAAAACAAAAGGTGCTTGACTTCAAGAATGTCTTTGCTTAAGGGTTACTTTTATCAAATTCGCTCATCAAAACGTTAAATACAAAAGTTTGATGGCATTCAACCAAAACCTTTCAAGCCTTGTCATCAAATCTTAATTAAAAGAGTTTAACTTAACTCAAAGTTCATATTTAATATAATAATAGCCAAAAAGAAAGCGGTGCATTTTATTTTTGATGTCCATCAAAGCAGCTACATAAGATTCGTATAATATAATGAAATGCCCTAGCAATAGACGCACACATAAAACACATTTTTCGACTGACTGGACAGAAACAGAAAAAGTTATTAATTGCGTGCCGTTAAATGTTGGTTGTATGTGTGGGTGGACAAAGCTTCTAATATTTAAATCATATCTTAAGGTAGTTGCTTCTCTTTTTTCCAAGTTTGTAACCTTTTCTACTTTATTCCACAAATCGAGAACAATTACTTTATCGCTTTCCTACTGTATTCTCAATTTATTCATTAATTAAAAGCCATACGTCGAGCAAAACATATTGTCGAGGTAAACATTTCTTCTTACGTAAATCTTTGTTAATAATGTTTCACTTGGCAAGCATTTTATTTTAACATGAAGTAATACAGTCTTATGTTGAAATGCTATACCATGTTTGCCATAGTTTCACGTGCGAAGACATTTTAGGAACAATAAACTATCAATCGATTGCAACCTAAACATTTTTCTCAGAATAACCGATTCAGACGGGATAGAAAGTTCGCGTTTGTTTCGGAGAAATCTGCTTCGGAAACATCTGCGGTGTTTTATACAAGTATAAAATTACTTCACAAGTCAATCTTCGGATATATTCTATGAAATATTGTAATCTTTTATGAAATTAATATATCGAAGGCTGATAGCTTATATGAAGCAGTACCATAATATTCTTTTCCAAATTGCAATTTCACTAACGCAAATTCTAATAAAAAGCAAACGTATTTTCCTTATATAAATACATATAATAGGTTGGAGGGAAAGTTTTGTCGTATTTTATTCATGTACTTTGCTTTAACACAAACGCAAGAGATTTAATGTGATCTCAGGCAGATGTTTTTTTATTACAAGAAAAATTACCTCTCTATTCAAAATACCACAGAACTTTCCCCCCAACCTAATATATATATATATATATATATATTATATAAAAAAATATTTCATTGCAAATATTGCCCATCGCTCTTTGTATATTTCTCCAGCCTCTCTGAAAATTTGGGGATACCACGCCTTAAGAAACCTTCTTCTTTCTTCGCAGCCATTCTTATTTCCTTTATCTTGACCTATTTGGTAACCGACTCGTTTTTCGAGCAGGAAAATGTCCAAGACAATTAATTGTTTTTAGTAATTGTTAGGCATAGCCGTTTATAAGACCACACCTTACTAGTTCTGCCAAGCCGAGGATGTCGGCTTCTTGCCAAAGCAATTCGGTTTTGCGCGAATCGTACACTTGCATCCATCCCTGAATTTTTGCACCTGGAATTCTCCATAGAATTTTTTTATTGTTGTGACATGAAAACGTTTGCCAGATTTCAACAAAGGAAATGACGCCGATGACAAGCTTTGAAAGTAACAATATTGATAGGTAGGGGCATCTGTGGGCAAATTTTTATTTGCTATATTATCAGAAAGTAAAACGAGTATTCTATCGGTATGATGAGTAAAAAATTAACCATATATCACATTTTGCTTGTTGCAATAAAAATTTTTATTTACACACGTTTTTAGCGCTACAGCCATTTCTACCTTACACATATTGTGGATATATATTAGATGACTGGGATTTGGTGTCTATCAGTTCAATCTCTATTCATCTACTTTTGCGCTTAATGGATTTTGCCAGATACGACTACATCTGGTGTAATACACCATTTTGAAAAAGGGCTTTGTATTAGAAAATTCGACAATTTCAGTAGATCGTGACCAAAATCTCTACGCAAAAGCACTTTGGCATAGTGTCTAAATTGGGGAAATGGAAATGGTTTGGCATAATTTTTTGATATATAATTTTTGATACACAAATTTACTATGATTTGAAAAGTAAGGCAATAATGTGCAGTTTTTGATATTTTATGATGAAGATAAGTGGAGGTTATTGGAACTGATGTACATTACTCAGAAGTCGGTCAGTTTTAAGTGCTGGCTTTTTTTGTAAACTTTTTGTTTTATCAACAATCGTTACATGAATAAGAAACCTACAAGCACAGAGTTTTCTCTTTGGAACAGCGATGGAATAACCCACCTTATGGTCGTCACTTACACTCTTTATTCCCACAAATGAATAAAGCTCCTTGGCTTATCAATTGCAAGCTTAGACGCGATATTTTATTGCCTTATTAACAGGCCGATGTTTAATGATCCGACATGTAATGATCATCTATTCAAAATTAACATAGTGGGTAGTCTTTTACATGTGGAGTCTTGCAATCTCCTGATCATATCCTATTTGTCTGTCCGAAAGATTTGCCCTCTATTCGCCTTTTGCGTTTATGACATTCTGCGTTCACACAACTTAACAGCTTACTCCACAATCTTTGCTTATTTTAAATCCTGTCATCAAGATATATAAATGTACAACCAAATTAAGAAGCTACTCCCTTCCACGCTCTTTTTACTCCCGCACTTATCAGTTCTTTCATATGACACGTTGTACTCATATATCTCATTAGTTCTATTCTACATGGCGGCAAAATTTATTTGAAAGTAAAAAAAAAGCAGCGTGGCGGACGTATAGCATACATATTTAACAAAACATTAAACAAATATAGTTTAATTAGGAAATAAAAGGAAACTAACCCTAACTTTATTAAAGCTCAAGCAAAGAACTTTGTATTGACTTTTGTGCCTTTTTTGCATATCACAGCGAATTTGCGGTAATTGATTCGTTGAATAGATGAAGTAGAAGAAGGCAAAACCGACAGAAGTGTCTCCAAAAATAAATGAGGTCCACTCAGTTTCTACTTTGTCTCTACTGATTGCTCATCTTCTTTAGCTTAAAGTCTATGAAATAAAAAAAGACTGCAAAGAAAATTTTAAACTGTCGTAATTTTTCGTTTCTTTTATTTGCTTCTTCTTTAGTCCGAATATGTTTGGGTTAAGCCTCAGGACGGAGTCAATGAGTTCACGGTGCCCTATGCGGCGTTACTAGTGCGCGAAGATAAGTCAAAAGTTTGTATAAAAGATCAGAAGGGTAAACAGCATTGGATCAATTCCGCCGATGTAGTTAAACGCATGCATACGACTTCACAAAATGGGGTGGATGATATGATTACTTTGGGAGATCTGCAAGAATATGCGATTTTACATAATCTGGAAATGAGATATCATCAAAACAAAATCTATGTAAGAGTTTTTAAGTTTCTCTCCTAGGAAAAGTTAATATTAATCCGTTATATTATATATTACTAGACCTACACAGGAACGATGTTGATTGCCATCAATCCCTATCAAATATTGCCGATTTATACCCATAAAGAAATCAGAGAATATAGAGACAGAAAAATCCATGAATTGCCGCCGCACATATTTGCCATAAGTGATAACGCTTATCAGGAGATGAAAAGGGATCGAACAAATCATTGCATAGTGATAAGCGGTGAATCTGGAGCGGGTAAAACTGAAAGCACTAAATTGATATTGCAATATTTGGCTGGCCTTAGTGGCAAACACTCATGGATAGAACAACAGATCATAGAGGCAAATCCTATTTTGGAGGCTTTCGGCAATGCTAAGACGGTCCGAAATGATAATTCTTCGCGTTTCGGTAAATATATTGAGATACGTTTCAACGAGTCCGGTAGCATACACAATGCGAGGATTGAAGATTATCTGTTGGAAAAGTCTCGAATAGTATTTCAAAGCGACGAGGAAAGGAATTATCACATATTTTACTGCTTAGTGGCGGGTCTAACTAAAGAAGAACGCCAGAAATTAAATTTACTGGAGGATAATCCGAGCAAATATCATTACCTTGCTCAAGGTAAATGCACGGCAATTAAGGGTAAAAATGACGCGGCCGACTTTACGATGATCAAATCAGCCATGGAAGTGTTATCATTTAAACCAGAAGATATCTGGAACATTTTTGCTTTGCTGGCATCGATTTTGCATTTGGGAAATTTGCATTTTAAAGCCACCACAATACAAAATATGGACACTTGTGAAGTGAGTAATCAAACAGAAGCGAATCGCGTCTGCCAGTTGCTGGGTGTTAGTAACGAACAACTTTGCACTGCTTTAGTACAAAGAACTATTTTAGTGCATGGCGAGCACGTGATTACTGGGCTTTCTAAAGAGACTGCGATCGAGGGCAGAGATGCCTTTGCGAAAGCTTTGTATGGTAAAATTTTTATCACTATCGTACAACGTATAAACGTTGCAATTAACAAAGAAGGCGGCGCAGGTTTGAATACCATTGGTGTCTTGGATATATTTGGCTTTGAAAATTTCCATGATAACAGTTTTGAACAATTGTGCATTAATTACGCCAACGAAAACTTACAGCAGTTTTTCGTGCGACATATATTCAAAGTAAGTCTAGCATTTATTACTTATTTATGTTCTACGCAACAGATAATATAGCTTTTATGGTATCTGAACATATGGTTTATGTTTGCATTTTCGACTGATGTGCTATCTATAATTATAAGATTTACTGAATAACAACCAGTCGGTTCAAATCTCAAGTGCGGTTGAGTTTCAATAAAGCCGAGAGCCTGATGCTTTATCACTTAACTCTCACAATTTATTCCTCTGGCTAAATTAATAATAACCATAGTAATAATATTTATTTATTTATTTTTGTTTTAAATAATAATAAAAATTCGTAAACTATAACTTGAATAAAAAATTCTACCCCGCACTTTCTTCAGAATGCAATAAAGATTTTAGAATCGTGACCACACTAACTGCGCTAATACCAATAGAATGTGTCTTAAAGCTCGTTCTTTGTTTTTAAACAACGCACCGAGCACCGACATTCACCTCTGAACTATCCGTTAAAAGCAAAAACTCAAGAAATTCTAAAATTTATACGAGGTATGTGTTGTACTTTTATAAGTAAGAAGCGAGATACACGGACAACAAGGGTGTCCACGTTTATTGTTTCATTGATGTGTGGGCGTTGCAAGCGTGCTCTTGACAAGTTCAGATCACTTTCACTTTTGTTTGCAAATTTGTAGGCGATAGATTCATTTTCACAAACTGGAGAACATTTGCCACAGAGACTACAAAGTTTTATTCATCTCTGCATTGTCTATTTAAATTATATAACGGTTCATATGTTTTCATCAATATTGCGATCCAATTCACAAAATCGAGTGTATCCTATCCTACCACCGGGTTGCTCACATCTACGGTAGTTGCCAGTTGTTTGTTACTAATTTATAGGTTCACGTAGATAAATAAATACAGAACTGGAATGTTTGCCAAAGCAATTCAGCCGATGTTGAGGGTGTGCCTGGATCTACCTGTGAATTTTTACGCCTGGGGTTTTGAAACTAAATTCACCTTTCATTGCCACTTAACATGCGATGTAAAAAGCTCCCTTTTACATATGCCGGCGAATGCTCTTTATTTGGCTTAAAACTTGACATATTCCGTTGTTAGCAAAAACATTTTTGTGTTACGATATGTGTGGGTAGCAAGTGCTTATTGTCACTAGATGTCCAAGCTATAAAAAAAACCCACCTTAGACATACGTATCCTCTATGCGTGTTGCTTACTATGAATACATTCCAGTTTCACATTTATATACCTTGTACAAGCAACCTGATCGTTACAAAAATAAACTGCAAAATACATAAGTAATCCTATTGTAACTTGTTTGATCGATTTGTAGTCGTGCTTTATATTAACTGAATATTTAGCTGATAGTAGTGGTATTTAAGCTATGATTGAAAGAAAATTTTTTTCTTTAGTCTTCACTTTTATACTACCACCGTAACTGTAATAATTAAGAGAACTGCGGTTATTTACAGCCATAAACCTGACCTACTTTTAGTAAATACAATTTACATACGCTAAACATTAGTACGTTTACTATTTTATCTTATATTGAAATTACTTGGTTATATAATTGTAAGGGTTGAAATTATAAATTCAATATATGAAGAGAGTAAATGAATTCAAGACAATGATCTTCTTCTTAAGATTAGGTATTTAGCAATACGCGTACGTATACTTTCGGATAGTAGCTATTACCAGCCAGCAAAAATAAATAAGAAGAATTTGTATTTGTTTTTGCTTTTCCTCAGATGGAGCAGTGCGAATATGAACGCGAAGGCATTAACTGGGAACATATCGAGTACCAAGATAACCAAGATATACTCGACATGATTGGCATGAAACCTGTTAATATTATGTCACTCATTGACGAGGAATCCATATTTCCTAGAGGATCGGATCAAACGTTACTTGAAAAACTGCACGTTCAACATGGTACTCGCTCGTTGTACATTAAACCAAAGTCAAATCAAGAAAATACCTTTGGTGTGCGTCACTACGCTGGTGTTGTCTTTTATAATACACGGGGCTTCTTGGAAAAGAATCGCGATTCATTTAGCTTGGATTTAAAGGATATGGTCGCCAATTCGAAAAATAAATTTATAAAAAACATTTTCCCACAACTGTCACTAAACGACACGATGAAGAAGCAGTTGACATTGTCGGTGAAATTTCGCAATTCGTTGGATTTGTTAATACGCACTTTAACCGCAGCTCATCCATTTTTCATACGATGCATAAAACCAAATGAATTAAAGCAACCCAACGTAAGTTTATCACAACGAAATTTGATTAATAAAATTTTTCTAAATTTTCTCCTAACTTAGATTTTCGATAGGGATTTTTGTGTACGCCAATTGCGCTATTCCGGGATGATGGAAACTGCGCGTATACGACGGGCGGGTTATTCAATACGTCACGATCACTCAGATTTCGTTGATCGTTATCAGCTCCTGCTAAGCGATAAAAAACTTTTAAAGCAATTAAATTCGCAACAAATATCTCGCGAAATATGCAGAACGATTCTACCACCGAAAGCAGACTATCAATTAGGTCATACAAAAGTGTTCCTAAAAGATATCGATGATAATTATTTGGAAACGAGACGATCTCATATAGTTTTAAAATCTGCACTAATCATACAAAGAGGTTTTCGTCGATTATTATTCCGCCGATATATAATAAAACATCGTCTGGCTGCTGTAACGATACAAAGAGCTTGGCGGGCTTATAAGAAAAGAAGAGCTTTCCAAATTATCCAACAAGGATTTCAACGTTTGGTTGCTTGTATAAGGGCTCGTGATTTGAAATCACAATACATTACACTACGAAATCGGGTGATAGTATTGCAAGCTCACTGCCGCGGTTATTTGAAACGTAAAGAATTCAAGGTTGAATTGGAAGATAAGTTGAATAAATTGGGAGAGTTGCGTATGTTAAGAAAAAGAGACGAGCAGTATTATCTCAAGACTGGAGAACGTAATTGGAAGCAGAAAGCGGAGGAGAATCATAGAAAACGTTTAAACGAGTTAAATCCCAGCGAAGGGCAGACATCAGAAATAAAACTTCCCGAAGAGGATAACAACAATTTAATAGATATTGAGTCATCGAAAAAAATTGTCGATTCGGTATTCGGATTTTTGGATGAAACTGATGTAAGTGGTCCCGTTGGGCCGAATGTAAAACAAAAATCCCGCATGCTCGAACTAGAGCTAGGTAAAAACAAATTCATACCGACAAAACTCTTGTCTAGACCTGTAAATTATTACGAATCCCAACTGCCAGCAATGGAATTTCCTAGAAAAATTCTTAATCAAACCCGTTTGTAAAAACATTAAGTCCTTTCATATACATTTCCTTCAAGTCTTCATTTCTCTTTCTTCTTTAATTCTTTACTTTTACCCCTTGAATCGCTATGAAATCTGTTTCTATCCAATATTCCGGATCTATTGCTAATTTGCAAAGCAAATCTATATTAAACCGTCGGCAATATTATAGTCGTCGAGGCCGGTTATTAAATGCCCTATTTCAATTCGCTTAATGCAATTCTTCGTTTACCTTCGTGATAAAATATCAAACGCATATGGGAACGAGCTCGACATGTGGAAAAATTTAGCATATTTAATTTCTTCACCTATTTATATCGTAGAGCTTTTTTTACTATTTAAACGTCTACTTTCCCTTCATGCAGGATAGACTGCAAAAAAAAAAGACATACGCATTCCAAATTCGATTCGAGTTATCATAAATAATTAAAAATTGGCCTTTTGTAAACAGATTTAGAAATATTTAATAGAAAATTTTAGGAAATATAGGATTTTCAATATATGGGGATTTTTGAAAGCAGGAGATATGAGAAATGTGCGGTCTGTACCGGTGGAATACCCTGGAAGAATATTGAAATGTATTGCACTTTTGCATACACTGTCACGAATCATCTGAGAATATGCATAGGGAGTCTTATTTTTGACCGATCTTATGAAAACTTTGTGCTCACTGTAATATAATCTTTTTATGTGTGTGTGATTATAAATAAAATACGATTTTTTAAGCGTGTTCTTGTGGGGTATGAAAAGGTCTTTTGCTTTCCATTCTATTAATTCATTCTACATTGCAATTTGCCTTATGCTTAATTTGATTCTCTCCTTTACTCTATCGTCTTCTTCTTCTTCTTATCTCTGTCTCTCTATGTTTCTTTCTTGCTTCATCTTATTTCTCTTCTTTTTGAACATGTTAGGGCTTATTTAACTATTTTATTTAATCTTGTCAGCTCACTATTAGTCAGTTTTTTAAAAAACAACTCGTTTTTGGGAATTAGAAATCGAATAATTATGGATACTATTTTCTAAGACCGCCCGAAAATGTTAAAATCGCACACGAATTTTGACCGCGATATTCGCTCAAGTGGTGCACTTATGACTTTCATAAGTTGGTTCTATGCAAATATCGCTTAGATTATCTCATCAAGAACTCAAGAGCGGATAAGCTCGCTCGTTTTCTCGTCCACCATTAAGTTATTGATCTATCACACCTCCCGAATACATGGTTGCCTTTTTATTCCGTAAACATACTGAGCATGGAGAGATCGTTTCTCAAAACATGGAATGTACAAAAAATAGCCAAACATAGTTGAAGAAGTCCTTTAAAGTACTTTGGCGTACCGGATGAGTAGTTTTTTATAAGTCGTATATTTCTTTGGATGGTAGATTATTAATCAACGCATTCATTTAATTCATTCATTTTTCCTCTTCACCTTTTTCTATTCATGCATTGCGTTGCAAAGCCTAATTCTCTTTCCTCCTTTCAGTGGCATGATTACCAGATGTACAAATCATTATAATTCATTTTTCTATATATATACAGCAAGAGTTTTCAGCTTTTATCTTTCTAATCTTAGTATAGATGTGTACATAAATATTATATATGTAAAGAAATTGTGATCAAATACATTTGTAATTAAATAAATTATCATTTTTGATTATAAGGTCTTTTGTCCTTTATTGCGTTTTGTACATATGATATCTTACTTACTTACGCTTCAAATATTTATTTATTTTATTTTTTCGAAACGAATACTGTGAACATTCATATGAAATGTAAATATTGGTTGCTTTCTGGTATATATCTCATCTTAGACAAACAATTTCTTGGTTTATCATAGATTTTTTAAGTAAATAAGTACAAAAACGTATCTATGTTGCTTTAAAATTTTTATCAATCAAAGATAAAGTGAAACATAAGGTACGAGTTAATTAAAACTTGTTTGAATCGCCGCATAATGTAATGAAATTAATTAACAAAAAGGGGTAAATATTACTTAGACTCTACTTGGCCGTTCTTTCTTCAAATACAAAATTTCGATACTTTGTAATATTTATCTTGCTGGTACTATATCACCCGTAGACTATATACGAAAATTTTTATCGTTATATTTAACGTAAGTGATGAACAAAGTTCTCAGCTCAAGGAACACTGCAGGTGTATCGTACAAACGATTTAGCCCTATTTGAATACTAATCTGCGTGTAAGAACTTTGAATGGTTTTGGCGGGTTCATTTTTGGGGCCAGAAGAATTCGGGCCACAAACATTAAACAGTAGATGGCTAGCCAGACGAACGGATGGATAGACGAACATGCTTAAATCGATGCAGAATGTAATGCTGATGGAGATGGAGAACATCTGTGCTGTGAAAATGTTTCTGACAACTCGATGGGTTCATTGTGGTTAAATTAATCTATAGCCGAAATAACTCGAAAATTTTCATACATTTTCACTATTATCTATACACGCGACAATTCGAATAAAAATTTTTTTTAAATTTCCTAAAAATCAACATCTCTCGACTATAAAAAACTTCAGATTTCATATTTACATATGTAAAAGTAAAAGTACACAAGGATGGCAGATTGTTTGTTTCTGTTAAGTGAAGATTCTATTTCACAAAACATATTGATTTGCAAGATTTTAAAAGCTAAAATTTCACTTCAAATCATCTAAAATTTTGATCAATCAAAGATGCTTTCGAAGCAATTGTAGCCTTTGTTTCCCCGCAAGCAATTGAAAAAATCTTACGTTGCTTTAACATATGCTCAGAGTGTAGCATACACTTAATTGTTTCTATTATTTTTTATTGTATTAATGTTCTCTGCCACTCTTTAAAATTAAACAATAAGAAACGAGTTAGTATCTACTACGGGAAGCATTGCATTGCATGTCACTGGCTTGCTTGAAAACATCATACCTGAAAAATGAAGATAAAGAAAAAGTTTGCTCCACACTCTCTCCACGTAATTCATGCCAACGCATCCTCTTGAATATTTATTTTCCTTATACATCTTTATAAAATGTGTTAAATATTGAAAAAGAAAACCGTAGATAAGAACTGATACTCTAAACCCATAAAATCTATAACGTTTGTAAACTACCTGACATTTTCAAGTACTTGTCACCGACTAACTTTAATATAAAATTAATAGGGAAAATTTTTTCACTTCTTTATATTAAGTTAGATACTTACCTAAATGTTTTTTATTAAAGAATGTCACTTAATAAGCATTCGAACGGGTTTTAACTTAGCGCGAATTTACTTCGCTACAGGGTATGCGTGTGTATGGGTGCACCATAATAATTTGCAGATAAAACTGTATCTTATCAAAATCAATTGAATTTAATTGACGGCTACTTATAAATGCTTAAAGAGCTTAAAAGTATGTACACTATAAGATCGCAGACATGTAAAGCTGTTTAAATAATTAAAAGTGACGGAGGGAGTAGAAGAAATGACTTATCTATGACTTCTCGATGAGTAATTCTTGTGACTGAGTCAGAAGAAAAATTGTTTTTTGGGAAATTTCAGTTTACCCCTCAACATAGCTTTCTCTTAGAGCGACATAATCAATTCAATACTTCAATAACACTTTGTTAGTTCGTTTTGTTTCATACCCACCCTCGAAGGTTAAGCGCGTTGGTCAAAAAGTTTGCGAAAGAGTAATCAGTAAACGTTTCTAAATCATTGTAAGCATCCCCGCCTCACTTCTCTGTGTATGCTCTGAGGACAATTTTAGCACAAACTTATGAAATTGTTACATACAGTGTGGTATCAAAATCGACAAATCGCTCACAGTACAATCTAAGCTGAACACACCTCTATTTTAAAAAGAAAAACGTTTCATCTTCAATACGAATCTGAATCTCGCATACGCACCATTATGTTTTTCGAATTCTACTCGTCAAGTTGTTTTACTTGACACCCATATCGCTGCTTTTGTTGGAAAAAAAGTAATCGCCTGTGTTTACCATATTCAGTTTAGAATTAACCCGTTTTTAGGCAGGTAATATATCTTCATCTGAGGAATGTACAAAATAGTTTTAAACATTTGGTCTTGTTTGCGTTATAATAAATTAGCATAAAAACCTCCAAAAAGTGAAAAAGATAAAATTTAATCAATTATAACTTTGTGTGGGCATTGCCCTATTTTCCCCATTTTTCCACGTAAAGGGTACAGTCTTTCAGTGTCGAAAATTTCAGGTTTCTAAATTTTATAATTTCTGAGTAAAGAGCAGAAACCTACAAATTCTTGTTAAGAAGAACGAAGCTGCATTCAGTTTATGCTCCATTGCGGGCTTTTGCTCTGACCAATTTGGCCTATTTTCAATACCAACCCACGTGCAAAAACTCCCGAAAGTTTATGCCAAATTTAAAGTCGATATCTTTATTTTTGCCAACAACAAACACCACACCGACACGCACTCAGATCAGGAATATATACACTTTATAGGGTCTCCGAAGCTTCCTTTTCGGTGTTACATGCGTTATGAAGAAAAACAAAATGTGTACACCCCGATCTTACAGTTGTGGGTATAATAATTACGTACATTCTATTATTCCATTAATGATCCTACACGTCTATCAAATATTGTAAGCAAACAAAATTTCTTTTTTCGCTTCGTTTGAGTTCCTTTCAAGATAAAGATATAAAAGATATAACTCCTTTGCCTGTCATGGTCTTCAAAACCCGCTTCAGTTCCGCAATGCATTCATCTTTTCAGCTAGATTTTTTCCTTAAAATAACCTTTTGAGATTTACAAACAGATAATAGTCGCTTGGAATCAATTCTGGGGAATACGGTAGGTAGAGCAGCAATTCAAGGCTGAAGTCATGCATTATTGCCAGCATGTCCTATTAATAGAAAGTTGATGCTTTTGTTTCGCTGTATGTAAACGTGATACACCTTTCGAAAATGAATGTTTCATATAGAAATTTTCCTGCAAAAATGGGGAAACACTGCTGACATTCTTCAATATCGTTAGGAAGTCAGCCATTCATTGCAACTTCATCTAGCGATTATGGAGAATAATTTTCAGAATTTTTTGATATTTTCTTTTGTAACTCATTACGTTTGCAATGCCCAGAACGAAGCATCAGAGATGCCACAAAGTATATATATCCTTTCGTTGTAGGCATTTACGTCTGCTCCTCTGTTCGTTTTTGTATAACAAGCTATCGACTTTAAATTTGGTAGAAGCATTAGAAGTCCTTGCACACAGCTTGATGCTGCTAATGGGCCAAATCGCTCAAATGCCATGCCTACAGAACTACGAAAACTGGGGCTGCCTCTGTTTTTCGTCAGGAATAAAAAATGTTTTTTCGCTTATCAATCATAAACTCCAGCAGATAAGTTTATACAAACTTAAATGTACGTTTTATGGGCGATGTTGTAGTATCTGGACGACAATGAGACAATTTAACAACGCCTATCCCATATTATAAAGCATCAAAATTTAATTATTTTCTCAATACTTTTATAACGTGCAGAATCAAGCTTCAAAAACCCCATGAAGGATAAAAATTTTGGGCAGTTTTAAATTTGGCAGGCGCCTAACCACGTTTGTCCGTTCGTCTGTCCATTTATTCGTCTGCTCAACTATGTATTATCTATCATTGCTAAAATGAAGATACCGCCTACAAATTTGCAAAAGAGTCTACAGAGGCCACACGTCTATACCACAAAATCTTTGAACACCTTTGCTCTCCGGGTTTTTTGCTTGTTGCTCATAAGTCGCAACATATACATCGTATCAATTTCCACTTTTATCCTGAAAAGAGAAAAGCTCAGCCACGCCCATCCAATATTGTAGAGTACGGAAATCTAGTTCCTTTCCTTTGCTTAGTCTTTTTTAGAATAACGGTGATGGGTATAAAAGAGTTGCTCACGACCGAATATAATTTTCTTATTTGTTCCTTCTTATTTTTTATTTTTTTTTGGCATCCATTAGCATCAGCAACACCAATGTCGATAGGATCTCGATTAAAATAAGCAAATCACCAGTAGATCATTGTTTCCGATCGAGAGCAGGATTTGAAAACAAAAAAAAAAGGCCGTTCCTGAAACTACTGTAACTGTGTGTGGTCGAAACGATATCTAATTTTGGCAACCGTAGCTGTAAGGTTGACAGCTAAAGCTACTATAGATTTTTTGTGTGCTGTCTTATGAAAACCAGAAAAAAGGTCGTAGCTCTTTTTGCCTCTTTAAATCATAGATAGGGTAGATTTAGTAAAGAACAAAATTTAGGTCTAGAACGATGTCTTGTTTTATTACTGTTAAGGTAAACTGTAAAATTTGTAAACAAAATGTATGAAAGTCCGTTTCGCAGTGTTCCGAGCAAAAAGGTATTTCCACCACATTATTGTTTCTGTCGCCAAGTTGATGGAAAGAATCTCAAATTTGTTCTCAGATCCCTTTCCTTGAAATTATATAAAGAAAGAAGAACAAATTTATACCCTTTTGAAGCAAATTTTAGTTTCCTACCATCTTTACAAGGGCAGCTGCGGACGTTTGAAAGAATATCAGCGTTTAATGGATCAACCGATCAATTATTGGATCTTAGCAAACATTTTTTCAAAGTTCAAGATTAATGTCTATTAAGATTTGTAAATCATTGAGGGCAACATGCGTACAAATTTTGGTCTTCAAATTTTGTTTGGGTTGTTGTTGTCCGAACATGGCGTGACTTACCATAACTTCATAACAGACAACATAGCGTCGTCATCTTTAAATCTTATTCAATTTCGAAAAAAGATGTTTTTCAACGAAACTTTATTCTCTTGTTTCGTCACATTTACCGCTGGCGTAACGCCATTAAGTGCATATTTGCTTTCTAAGATTGCTCCCCCCATAAAAGGTACAAAAATAAGTCTTTCAATTTTTTTTTAATGTAAAAAATGTATGCATTTTTTTAAACAAAAAGAAAAGAATCAGAATAAAAACTGATTTGAGCTACATCTTTACACAAGCAGTTACAAAAGGGCCGGCGAATTTATTCGCGGGATGTAGATTTCACGAGCAGTAGTGAATCGATCATATTTCATTGGTCTACTACGGACATAGCATGTTAAACCTGTCACTGTTGGAATATATTAAAAGTGTTTATTTTCAGTTACGTTATGTTAAGCACGGGGCAATGTGCCGTATGTCTTAGGTATGAGGTATCATAATATGCTATATGTGCTCACAGTAGTGATATTCTATGTCATGTACATTTTGTCATCAATTATAGTTCTCTTGCGTATCTGCTCTGTTCTGCTGTTCTATTCTTATTGTTCTGTCTATAATGCATGTTAGGACCTCCACCTAAGAGCGATATTCTTCAAATTTGAGCAAAACAAGAGTTTCCCCATCCTATCAAAGCAAATTTTACTTATTTTAAATCTGCATTACCGCTTTGAACACAAAAACGCACACGATGCCTCCAATTGTTAATCATTCTCTGTAAATTTAGTTGCACTACGTCTGAGAAAGCCTGCCAAGTGTTTGTCAACAAATGTTCCAAAGTTTATAGTTTGTCAGCAAAACCCTGCACTTTGAAGTATTCTCAGTAACATCATCCATGGGTATTAAATCATACGACTTCGCCGGCCTGAGAAAAAAAGCGGCGATAACGATTTGATTCTTTAGTGACTAAACAGTTTCAGTTCCAAACAGTAAAAGTTTTCTCATGGTTTTTAAGTATTCCGGCATCGTGATCCGCTGCATGATGAAGCTGTAAATAGTACTCGCTACATTTACACCTAGAAGCACATGAAAAAATGTATTCGAAATTAAAATTTCAAAAATAGTCGCATTTGTTTAAAGACTTTTTACTTTCGATAAACTTTCGCTTGTTTTCATTCTCCCTTTCGTTTAGCTTTCAGGTAAGTTCAATAAGGCCGACGAAAAGCTAGAAAAGCTTCTAACAATTTTTAATATTTGTTGAAAGTTCTAAAGGAACTTTTTGTTGTTATTCTTCGTTTAGGTTTATATTGCATTTGTCTTCCAAAGTATACAGTGATGTTGTCAGCATGTTTTCCCTCTCTTATCTGCTACCTTTAATCAAATTATAATGCAAGATAATATATGATTTATTTTAGATTCAAAAAAGTGCCTCAACATCCTCTGGTGGGACAATACGTTTACCTAAATCTCATGACGCTAAACCGGATATATCAGAGTTCAGTTTTGCAAAATATGCTGCCACTTATTTTACTGCCGGCGTTACCGGTCATTACAGCCAGAAACCGCTAAAGAAGTCATTACTAAATCATGATTTACCAATGGATGAAATAGCTGCGCAGGTAATCGCAACCTTTGACTAAAGCGAAAATTGAATTAATTTCTATTCTATTGTTCCCCTACTTTACAACGCAATTTAGAGCATTTGGATAATGATTTTGCGTTTTATGGGCGATATGGCTGAAGCGAAATACGATAGTACCAGCAATGATACGATAATGCAAAAGCTGACTCAAACCTTAAGAAAAAGCACTTTACAAAGTAAAGAATTTCAAGAAGCTTTAGCTTCTATGGGCGATATGGAACATCAAAGACGTCTAATCCGTAAAACGTTAAAAAGGAAAACTAAAATACCCGATGTTTTGAGACAAACTTCGGATAGAATCGTAGATTTGGAAAGCTATCAGCAAATATTAGGGGCACGCACCACAAATTTGGATAAACTACATTTTATTATAGGTCATGGTATACTAAGAGCAAATTTAAGGTAAATAATTTTTCAAGTCGTTGAAAAATTCTTATTCTGTTTCGTAACCATTTTAGAGATGAGATTTTTGCACAGATTTGTAAGCAATTGATCAAAAATCCATATCGCGTTTCATTCGCCAAAGGCTGGATTTTGCTTTCCTTATGCATCGGCTGCTTTCCGCCAAGTTCAAGTTTTGAGCATTATCTACGCTGCTTTATCCAATTGGGGCCACAATTGTATGCTCCTTACTGCGAGAATCGATTAAATAGAACCTTAAAGGTATTTGGATTTTTAAAAATGTTGATAGAAAATTTTTGAATTATTTAAAACTTAAGAATGGTGCTCGAACCCAACCTCCCTCATGGCTGGAGTTACAAGCTACGCGTAACAAATCGACTATTACACTGCAAGTTCTACTTATGGATAATGGCACGCAGAAGTTGCAAGTCGATTCGGCTTCAACTGCCCAAGAAACTGTAAAACAGTTAACCGAACATATTGGTTTAATAGACAGTTTCGGCTTCTCTTTGGTATTAGTTTTGTTCGATAAAGTCATATCCTTGGGCAGTGGTAGTGAGCATATAATGGATGCCATTTCCCATTGTGAACAGTACGCTAAAGAGCAAGGTCAAAATGAACGTAAAGCTCCTTGGAAATTGTACTTGCGCAAAGAAATGTTTAGTCCTTGGTATGATCCAACCGCAGATTCGCTGGCTGTCCATCTGATATACAAGCAGGTATCTGCAATGAAAGAATCATGTCCATATATATATGTCATCTCACTTCTTACCATCTAGATAATCCGTGGACTTAGCGCGGGAGAATATCGTTGCCATTCGGAAAAGGACATTGCAATGATTTGTGCTCTACAATATTATGCTGAATATGGGGAGAATATGAATCCTGCGGTAAAGAGAAATTAATTCATAGTCTCCGTTTATTGTATTTCTTTCGGCTGGCATATGATATGTAAGAGTGGCAAGTTGGAAAAATTAAAATTATTTTATTTCCAGGTTCTCTTAAAATCTTTACCTGACTATTTGCCCAAGCATCTACTGATTGAAGGAGATAAAGCTCTCAGATTTTGGGCAAATCTAATAACTGATACATTTTCTAGTAACGATTATCCAAATAGTTTAGCTTCGCGCTTAAAAGCTAAAGAAGATATATGTTTATACGGTCACCTAAACTGGCCCATGATGTTCTCCAGATTCTTCGAAGCCATTCTTACAACGGGACTACAACTTTCAAAGGGCAATATAGTAATAGCAATAAATTCAAATGGTTTTTATATGCTAAATGAAAGTGAAGTTATTTTAGGACATTACGATTACGTTGAAATATCTAAAGTAACTGTGGAAAGAGACTCTAACGATCTCATTGATATCCTACATTTGGAATTGTTGCAAAAGGAAGAGCTTTCCTTTAAATGCTGCGAAGCGCGAGATGTAGAAACTTTATTGCTTTTCACACTAGAAAATTTAAAACAAAGATCAAAATTTGCTCTGGCTATAGAGGACTTTAAACCCAATAAGCCCCAGGAACTCACTTTTCCACAATTGTCTTTATCACGCGGAGATTTAGTACAATTAACTAGCAAATCGAAAAGTTTATCGGAAACAAGTGGAGACAAATGCGATTGGCTTGAGGGGAAATGTCGTGATGCGAAAGGCTTCTTCCCAACAAAGAGTATTACGATTTTGGCTACTTTAACGAAACCGTCTGAAAAAATACTGGAGTTGTATAAAAAGTACAAAAATGATGACTTAAGAAGCACTCTGGCACGGAAGTTCACTACTAAGCTTGCGTCAAATCTACACAATCTTGAAAGCTTTGCCAAAAATCATTTCAGGCCTCAACTAAAGTAAGAAAAGCAAAATAAAATTGAGAAAAATTTTGATGTTTTCTAAAATATTGCAGTAGTCTGCGCAATTCTACGAGCTGTTTGCATACAATCAAAGCAAAAAATGAAGATTTATGGCGCCACAGCCGTAATTTACTAAAGGCGCCATTGCTCAAAAATTTGCAAGAAGATCCTGATTTATTTGACTTAGCTGTAGCTATGTTTAATAGCATACTTAAAGTAAGTTTAAAAGCGGATGAAAGTTACTGTACATATGTATTTCTATATAAGTTGATTTAAAAGTCCTTCAATCAATTATCGGGATGAAAAAAAACTGCCCCAGCCGGTTCAAAGTTTTCACACCAATTTGTCAGTACTGAGCGATTGATTTTTCCAGTTATTCTGTTTTATCCATTTTTCCTTTCCTTTACTCATCAAAATTGCCGTTAAAGTAAAAATCTGGTAAACTGATAAACTTTACGCGGTGAAATTATTTGTAATCATTTACTATACTTGTTTAATCTGGACTGCAAAATGAACTCAAATAACTCACTCACGTTTTCGGAATTTCTTTTTAAGTATATGGGAGATATACCGACAGGAAAGCAGTCTTCGTCCATTGATTTGATATTTAAACCTACTCTGAAATATGAGCAATTGAAAGATGAATTGTATTGTCAGCTTATGAAGCAGCTAACCGACAATTACGTAAATTACAGCGAAGAACGTGGTTGGGACCTCATGTATTTAGCTACCGGTCTTATACATCCTTCTGCAATAGTTCTTAAAGAATTAATGGCTTTCCTACGTACTCGTTCGCATGTTTTGGCGGTCGCGTCTTTAAAGCGTATCAAACGTGTTTCAAACAAAAAGCAAAGAAAGCAACCGCCTTACATACTCGAAGTGGAATGCATTCAACAAAGATTTGAAAAGATCTACCATAAGGTCAGTGAACACTCGCCTAAAATTTTGTTTAAGAATTTCTGATTTTATCTCAAGAGATTTATCCGTTAGGTGCACATTCCCGATGGTTCAGCGGAAGCCTTTGAGATTCATGCTTTCACCCGAGCTCTCGATCTAATTCATTGTATTGCAAGCCGTCTCAAATTAAAGTATCTAGAAGGTTTTAGCTTATTCGTAAGAATAGGTAAACGCACCTTTTCAGTACCCGATGGCGAATATTTATTCGACTACCTTTACGAATTGATGCTATGGATTAAAGAGACCATGCCCACACGTAACGCGGACGTTAAGCGCAAAGTTTCCTCCTATCAGTTGTATTTTATGAAAAAATTATGGTTTCATTTGCAGCCCGGCAAAGATCCTAACGCTGACACTTTCTTTCATTATCCTCAAGAGTTGGCGAAATACATGGCAGGTTATTACAAAATTTCTTGTGATAAGGCTTTGAAGTTGGCCTGTTTCATTTATTACGTGGATTACGGAATAGATAGTAAAGCCCTGCAAAAATCTCAAGAAATTTTGTCTCAAATAGTACCACAAGATCTCATTCGGCTCATGAAACCAAACGAGTGGAAAACCCAACTAATTAAGCGACTGAATAATCTCATACCGACCAATATAAGGAAAGATTTGATTAAACTGCAATTTCTTGAACATTTGGCAGAGCAAGAAATGTTCGGTTCAACTTTTTTTAGGGTTAAGCAAACGAGTGACGGATCCTTGCCGGAAAATTTATATTTAGCTGTAAATCGCAAAGGCTTTCATATAGTAGATGCAAGTACCAAGGTCTGCTTTAGCTCTCAATGTGTCACAGAGCAGTGTTATAATAATTTGTGTTTTTTTACTACTTTTAGAACACTTTGCAATCTTTTGATTTTAAGGAATTGAATTTCTGGAGTTCCGGAAATACTTATTTTAATATCCATATCGGCAATTTATTGGGATCTAACAAATTACTATGCATTACTGACCAGAGCTATAAAATAGATGATCTGCTTTCTTCTTACATTAATTATTTAAATATACATTAAAAAAAAATAAAAAATCGTTACCAATGTAAAAATTCTACTTAAATACGCTTCTGACTGAATAATTTTGTAGAGATAAATTAATATTAAGTAGCCACACAAAGAGAATGTATGAGGAAAGAGGTGGTCTCACATTATAAGCAAAAGCGCAACGTGTAATGCCGAGAACACATCTCCCCTTTCATTCATGATTTTTTGAAATTGTCTGTCTATGACGACTTAAAATGTGAGTTGTTAATGTATCTCTACAAAATTATTCAGTCACAAGTGCCGTATCGTTTAATCGAATCGACTACTGGTTTCTAGATCGAGCAGGCACACTTTTATATCGATTCCGTGTATATCGAACTCTTTGGCTGGTGATCAGTTGATTAGTCTTTACTCCTTCCTATGAATGAGTAACTATGTTTGGTGGCCTATGGGTTTATAGTTGCAAATTTGAGACACTAAACAAGTAAAATAAAATAAAAATATACAGAATTCTGTAAGCCGTTCGAAACAAGCAGTGAAGAATTTTTATTGCTCATAGAAAACAACACAAAGTTCAAGATTACCGCCGAAGGCAACAATGTTTGGTGGCTTGCTGACTTTAAACGGATCCCTACAGCTATCGTATTTCAGAATGTGTAACGGATTGTATTCATATGGCAGCTCGAAAAACAAAGAACGATGACTAAGGAATACTTCGTGGCACTTTTCATTCGATTGAAGGAGAAAATTGTCAAAAATAGCCCTAAATGGCGAAGAAAACGGTGCTCTTTCACAAAAACAATGCACTGCGTCACCAGTCGATGGCTACAATGGCAAACTTGCGCGAACTGAAGTTCAAATCGCTTTCCCGATTTTCGCGAGGTCTGATCAGCAGTGGCTATTACCTTGGTTCAAGTAAAAATAGCTCTCGAAACTAGAGAGAAGTTTTGTTCTGATTGTATTACTCCTGAAAGATATTATGCTCTTTAATAAAATCGAATTTTCAAAAAAAAAACTTTTATGTTTACTTAGTCTGCGTATTTTCACCCTTAGAACAAACACTGCGAAGCTTATTAAAAACCGTGGGCTGAAAAGCATCTTCATTTTAAACTAGGGCTATGTACCACTTATAATTTTAAGCTTCAATTAGACCATCCTGAAGTGATACGTCATCTTATTTGTTAACCAATTTGCTGAAGTAATCAACTCCCGAGCATGCATATTTGATTCAATAAATACACCTTGACTACCTGTTTTATAGGCAACTCACGTACATACTACCAATGCTAAAGCCTGCAGTACAAACTGATAATAGATCATTCAACCACCGTTGAATATCATGTTACTGATAATAACAAATCCAATCGAATTTACTAAAGTCGGACAATCGGGTTGCTCTAAATCGATAAGACTGATGGATTATGGGAGAAAATTTATTATCCATTATTATGTATAACAAAAAGATTATTATTATAACTTCTGTTCGATTTCATGATTTTGCACTAATTGCAGCAAGTTATAAATCTCTTCTGGTTTAACCATAACAAGTGCGTTAATCCTCACACAAGGCTGATCTATTTTGTATAAAGATGAAAACTTTTTTTTAATTCTTAAACAAATAAAAACAGTATTTCGCGCCGCGGCCCACCGTGTAATACCCCAGACCATCCAACAGTAATTCATGTCACGAGTTTTTAAATGAAGGCGTTATTCCGATCTAAATCATTTTTAACGGGGTTCTTTCTTGACACACGAAACGCGTCTATGTACCAAATTTCAACAAAATAGTACAAGTATTTCGCCAGGTAACCTGAACACAAGAAAACAAGACCGAAAGACGGACAGACAGACTTAGATAAATTCGAAAGGCGATACTGAATCCAACGGTACAACAGAAGGTAGATCTGTCCCAAGTGCTTCTAGGTGTTGCATTGATGGGCACAAATTTAATAAACCCCTCTACCACAAGTCGTGTCGGGTATAAAAGTTCCTTTAATACGACATAATAATTACATTTTCACACTCGTCTCGTTTTGAAGGAAATTCATGAATTGTGATTGTTTTACGCTTTTAATATTTACTTTACAAATTTCAAATCAATAATCCCAGAGCTACATAATATTTTAAGTTCGCATTTCAAAACTTAATTATGAAAATTTTGGGTTTGAATACTAACTGAAACTAAAAGCGAAAATGTTTAGTTATTTATAATTTTGTTAAATAAGGCTTCCGATGAAAACGGAGCACAAGAGAAGAGAGCAGCGATAAGAAGCTTTTACTTACTGCCATCAACATAATTATCAAGATTGTTGAAGAGAAAATGCCTACAAGTAAATAAAAAGAACTAATTGTGTTACAATGACATTAATTGTACAATTAATTTTTTAATTTTAAATTTATTACTTGCTGAAATGTAATCAGTGATTATCATTAGATTATGAACGAAAAATCAAGAGAATTACTGAATAGAGAGAAGAGAAACACTGAACTTAATAAAAATTTGTTGGTTTGTTTGTTTAGTCTAAAAATATGTTATGTTTTTACTTATTCCCTTATATTGAACATTGACGTAAGAATTTTCGTAGGACTCCGTGGCGCAACGGTAGCGCGTCTGACTCCAGATCAGAAGGTTGCGTGTTCAAATCACGTCGGGGTCAATACAAAGGCGGTGTGGTGTAATCTACGTTGTGGTTATTTTTTTTAATTTTTTAAATGAAAACAAGTTTATTATTTATTTTAAATGTATGTTCCTTATAACATTAATTCTTTTTTCTAAGCTAATAAAAGTAACGTAAACAAGACACAAATGTCGTAAGTTCGCATACTGCTCTCACTTCTTCAAGATTTTCAAGAAATATTTTTGTGAAGATTTGCTGACTCTTTCCTTTTTTAGTGTATATATAATAAAGAGTTCCTCCAAGGTGTTATCCGAATGCTGCCAGGAAAATGGGACAAGGTAGTGTTCTCTCACAATAAATTGATCACTTTTGATAGAAAACGGCAGAACCTTATTTGTAGTCTTGATAATGTATAATAAATCAATAGCTTTACATAAATTTGTCAAGCCATCGAAAAGAATATAATAGCTCAACGTGAAAGTGTATGGAGCTCTTTGATCATAACCTAAACAGATTTTGCTTAGCATTTCATTTATTCATTTTTATGAAAGCATGTGAAAGCCATTCGACACCGTACTCCCATAATTTTTGCTAAGTGACCAACGATATATATAGTCTGACGTAGCCTTGATGTAAAATCATGCCATTTTCATTGATCAATTTTAGACGCTTTGTCAAAATTGCGCACATTAATCGCACTGCTTATTAACAGTAGAGACTGAAAACTATTGTCCGGGTAGGTTGATACAGCTTCCGATGCGTCCGATTTCATTAAACACAAAGCATAACCACAGCTGATATCAATCTGGTTGTACAAGTGCTCCAAACTGACTTGATTTCATTTCATTTCAACGACCATTCTCGCAAATACAATTTTGTTTTATTTCACTTTTAATTCATGAAGAACTCAAATAGGGAGTTTGTTTTTGTACACAATCTTAGGCAAGTGGTCCGGAATTATTCTTTGGTCACTGTTTGAACGTCCGCAAGTAAATCGTAAAATAAGATGATTTGACTCCCCTTAACTTTTTCGAAGGATTTCGTTAAATCTATGAACAATCGGACTGGATCCGTAAAATTGAAATTTCCGGACCGAACTTTTTCATTGACATGAAATATCTGTGAAGATCAGCAGGATTTTTGAGAAAACGAGCCAAACATAATATATTGAACAAATTCGTAGGATAACACATAGATATTGTCATTAATAACGAATGCATATATCTTTCAGATGGTGCCAACTTTCAAGCGATATCTGCCATAATTGGAATTGCATTGCATTTCGACCATTACTTTACAAATTCTAATTGTCACCCTATAAACTTGTTGAATGATGTGTTTTATCTTCAACAAAGATGTATTAAAGATACCCTAAGTGACAGCCTTTTAAATTCCCCTGCAATTTGAATAGTTGCATTTGTTGTTTACATCTTACTTAGATAATGTCTGTCCATATGTTTAGAAAATGCATCAACTGCAGAGTTTTATATCTACAATTAACATTTTACCGACTTTCAATACTATATGAATTCCAACGTACGCAGATGGATATTGTGTTTATTGAAGTAAAAAATGTTATCAAAAACGGTATGAAAAGACAGTGAAATGCAAAAAGTGGGAAAACTAATTCGTTACACTTTATGAAAAATACTAGAGGCATTCCCGCTTTCGTACTAAATGACAACATCATCTCTAAAAGAATTCGTACAAGAAAACCAAAAGTGGCCATTTAACTAGAAGACCAAAAGTGGCCATTTGATAGTTCAACTTGAATAGGAATACATACATAAAGGATAATCAATTGATGAGAGGAATTGTTTGAGTAACTTAAGCCTGCGAGCTTATAGCAATTAGTTTTCCGTACAATTTTCCATGTATAGTATGTATGTTATGCTTGCCATTGAAATGATGAAAAGACATGAAGTATTGCTAAATCTCTAATCGAAGCCCATCAGCCGGTTCTTTTTTTTCCAAAGTCCATCAAACATCTACTTGTAGATGACTGCAACAGATGTCTGTATTCTACTTCTTCTTAATAATCCCCACGAAACAAGAAAAGTTTCTTTAACTGCCGTATACTTTATCTCTTGGGGGCGTCCTTATAAACAAAATACACTCATTTTTAAATCTTTAATCTTTTTAAATGATTCTAAAACATCTGTATCAAATTTTAAAATCCTCCCTCCATTATTGCAAGTGTAGCAATTCCACAAAGTACGTCGTGAACTCAACCATTACTTCGTTCCCTGTTCGGTTGTTGGTGCGAAAATTAATCCGTAACTAACAGTACTTACTTCCTATTTTGAAGTCCTTTTTATCATCTTTGGTAGTCCAGGTATATTAAAGATCTCGATCGGTTTTATAGAGTGATTCATTTTTGTTCCTATTAATTGGGCACAATACAGTAACAAATATATTTTCTCGTAAAATCTAACCATTAAGTGTAATATCAGCACTGCAGTACATTTATGCTTAGAACCAATATTGTTGCTCCATTTGCTTAAAGGATTGATATAAAGGTAACCTAAGAAAAAATTCCAAAGAAAGTTGCATCTACGAGTTACTTAATTAATTTTAAATTTAAAGAATCCCAGTAAGAAGAGAAAATCCCTGTTATCTAGACAACTGCAATTGGACCCTTCTTACTCATTTGGCTAATGTGAATGTTTAAATTTAAAGCAGAGGCGAAATGTCTAAGACGAAGTTCAACAATGTATGTTCAACAATGTACGTTTTACAAAAACAAAAATCTAAATCAATGTGTAAAGACGATGATGAAACTCGGGACAGTGAGTGTGTGGATTTTCCCCTTCATGACCATTTTCTTATTTTTCGCCTAAAGATCTTCTCCTTAAAGCCAATAAATATTTAACCTAGAAGATCTTCAATTCGCCTTTGCCTTCCTTCTTCTAAATATTTTTGCTGCTTTAACTATTATTAAACATTTTGATGTTACAAAAGTTTATTATAATTTTTAAATGTAATTTAGTTGATGGGATTTCTGGACTAAAGCCAACATGCCCGCCATTAATTCTTCACAATTGGGTATAATTTGGGCGGGTGGTAAAACAAAACCAAAGCGTCCTTGATCACGAAATTCTATAGTGTACGCTACGTTCACAGCGTCAAAATTGTCATAAACCCAATCTACCGATGAACCCGAAGCTATATCTATAATAGAAAAAAATTATACATTAATTCACTTTTTTATAATGAATACCAACACATGGTTGTTGCTGTCGACCCATAGCGATATGGTGTCTTATATGGTAAACTTTCAATAGCAGTGGCAAACGCTCCTCCTATTTCCAATAAGTCGTCGTAATTCTCAGGCGGATCTTCCGTATGACCGTAGGGCGATAAAAGCAGTTGACTGTAGGAATGGAAGGCAAGATAAATGTTGATGTCATCTTGAATACTTTTCAGAAATTCAGCTAAGGCCGTGGTCTCGTACTCCGAAAATGGTTGTGGACCCGCATATGTTTCTTCGCAAGGATTACCCGAAGCACCGCCGTTTGCCATCCAATTGGAATCGAAATTGCGGTTAGGGTCTGTGCCAACGCAATCCGATGCCAATGTTGGTTGGCGAGTTTTTCGCCATAAACGATCCTTATTAGAAAAAGGAGTGGAATTAATCAACTTCATCACAATATGTAACTTAACATTTTATAAAAAAATTTGCGAAAATTTTAAAGAAGTAGCTTTTCAGACCTTTTTGGTGAACTTACATCGAAGTCTGTCTTGATCGCCCGTATATATATGAATAAGATGCTATTCGAATTACACATACACATATTGTTAATAAAGGAAAAACCAGTGAGATACATTTGCAGGCATGTGATAAAATAACTAAGCAAAGCTCTCTAACCTTTCAGACTTTTTATATCCTACACCAGCTGTAGTAAGAGCGTATATTAAGTTCGCATGAGCACATGCTACTCCCAAAAGGACTTGAGATAGGCCCATCGATTATAATAGCAACTCAAAATCACATACCAAACCGATCTAAGCTTGTGTGTCGGTCTGTCCATCTTGGTTCCTTGTGTCCAACCTATAACCAATCGCAAGTTTTAAGGTATTTTGATGAAATTTGGTACACTGACGGCTTTTGGCCTAAAGACGAACGCTATTGAAAATGAGTCGGGTCGGACCACTTTTTAGATCACTTCCCTACACTTCCTATTGTACAAAATTCCTTACAAGCCGCAGCCCCGTATAGCTATTTTACTTGTTTAATTATATCTTCATGTTCATGTAGATTTCTAACTTTTATAATTTCTGAATAATGAGCAAGAACCCACAAGCTTTTGTTAAGAAGAACGAATTTGCATTCAGTTTATGCTCCACTGCGGGATTCTGCTCCCACTGATTTGCCCAATTTTCAATACGAACCTGCATGCAAAAACTTCCAATGTTTCTACCAATTTTGAAGTCGATATCTTCATTTTCGCGACCAGGAGAGTGCCAACAACAAAACGCAATCCGGACACACAGACGGGCTAAATCAATTCAAAATTTCACGCTGATCACAAATGTATATACTTTATAGGATCTGTGAAGCTTCTTTTTGGATATTACATAAACTATGACAGAAAAGGGAAATGATTATACCCCCTCTTATAGTGATGGGTATAAAAATAAAATTTTATGGTAGATATATGATGCATATAAAAAAAAAAATTAGAACTAAAGTATTTATTAGTCGCCCTTACCCGTTCATGGGTATAAACGAACCCATCCACATTTAAAACTGGTATTATATACCAATTATAATTTTCAGCTAAGTCTCGAACTTCCTCATCTTGAGATGTTAATAACGCATTTATAAACCAAGTTGCAGTTGCTGACGTAATCCACTCCCGTGCATGTATATTTGATTCAATGAATATACCGGGATTATCTTGTTTGTGGGCAATTTTTATACCTCTTATAGAACGATTCTCATATGAGTTACCAATGATAAAGCCCTCAGTAACATTCGGATAAGTAAGCAGTATATCATCCAACCATTGTTCAATTTCGTGCAACTCATAATAACGAGTCCAATCGAATTTACTAGAGTCGGAGTAGGATTGTTCTAAATCGATAAGACTAATAGATTATGAGAAAAAATTTATTATTATTTATTATTTTATGTAATAAAAATTTTATTAGTTAACCTACTCTTGAACATTCTCTATTAACAATTCCTGTTCGATTTCATTATTTTGCAGTAATCGGAGAAAGTTATGAATCTCTCGTGGTTTGACCATAACATGCACGTCTTCTGTAATATAATCATAATCCTTCCACACGCTGAACTATATTATATAAAGAAAAATATATTTTCTAATTAAAAAACCAAAGCCTTTTAACACTATTAATAATAATTTAATTTTCACCCTTGTCTGGTTTTGAAGGAAATTCAGGAATTGTAATTGCGTTGCGTTTTTTATGTTTATTTTATAAACTTGATAATTATCGTAACTTATGTTTCCAGATTTTCCTGCATTTTCTCCATTCGCTAATGTTAATAGATTAGCCAAGAATCCCAGAACAACGTAATATTTGAAATTCATATTTCAAAATTAAATTACGTAAATTTTGGGTTTGAATACTAACTGAAACTAAAAGCGAAAATGTTCAGTTACTTATAGTTTTGTTAAATAAAGCTTCCGACCAAAACGAAACATAAGAGAAGAGAGCAGCGATAAGAAGCTTTTATTAATTGCCGTCAACGTAATTATCAAGATTGTTGAAGAGAAAATGCCTAAAAGTAAATGATGTGAGAGAACTAATTGTGTTATAATGGGATTAATTTCACTATTAATTTTTTTATTTAAAATTTACTTCTTTTTTAATCGTAATCAATCATTATCATTAGATTACAATCATGAACGAAAAACAGCGAATTAGTGAATAAGAAGATTAATAAAAATTCTTTGGTTTTTTTGTTTAGTCTAAAAATATGTTATGTTTTTACTTATTCTTTTATATTGAACATTGACGTAAGAATTGATATAGGACTCCGTGGCGCAACGGTAGCGCGTCTGACTCCAGATCAGAAGGTTGCGTGTTCAAATCACGTCGGGGTCACTTGGAGAGAGCCGTGCTTTCGGTGTTTTTTTTTATATTTTGGGCGTGAAAGCAAGTTTATTATCTACTTTAAGTCTTGTTTCCAAGTTCATAGGTAACATGTTATCTAAAAAAAATTTTTACATAATCTCTAAGTTAATGAACTAAAACTTATATCCCGAACACTGTAAGTGACTATTCACAAATACGTGGGACGCTTAAAATTTTATTATGTAAGAAACCGTGTTTTTAAACTCTCCAGGCTTTTAAGTATTTAAGAAAAACTTCTAAGGGATTTGTGGTATACTTTGTTACCTGTTACTGTTTGCGTTCCATTCTCGATGTCCTTTTATGTGACATCTACCTCGTTGTGGCGCCCACCATATTTACAATTAATCTGTTACTTTGTGGTGACCGCCATTCAGTATATACCGAACATTTTGCATGAGCACATTGCCATTGTAGTTAAAGAGATGCACAAAATTTCAAAATAACTGGACATTTAGAAGTGCCATGTGGATCAATGCAAGTGGAAGGCGAATTCAACAAAAACTTATTAAAAAGTAGCATAAATAAATTGGAATATTATAAGTTAACGTATTAGTGTCATTCTTTGAGATTTTCAAGAAACATTTCTGTGCAGACATCTTTATATTAACATCTACATAATCTTAACACTAGGTTTATGGCAACTTAATAGATTTCCTATTTCACAAATTCAAGAGAAGTCGATGTCTGTAAATCTTATAAATTCGTTTTTAATGATATAACGCCGTAGCTGCGTATGCCAGCTCTTTTTTTCTGAGACACTTCCCCTTTGTTATTTTGAGTCGGATGCGACGCTGTATAACTATTTTTACAGAAACTCGCCAATTTGAGATGGAAACTTGGGCATGTTCTGTTCACTTACAGGCCCACAATATAGACGAGACTAAAACAGGTTCGGAAGATACCGCGAATATATGTGTATGTAAAAGCTCCTACCCAAATTTTCGCCACAATCCCCTGCATGCTCAGTGCAAAAATGACCCCGATCAGTTCATTAATACGTACACGATTTTTTTCAATAAATTTCATTTACTATGTCAATAAAAATTAGTTGAAAATTGGATCTGTATCATTGCGGATGTTATAACATTCACTATACACACACATCTATTGTATAGCTGTCCTTACAAAATATTTTTACTCAAGCCACGGATATCACACCTAACTTTAAAATAAATTAACTGTCAACTGTCTTACATATGCATGGATACACACATACATGTCACAATCAAGCTAACCGAAAACATTATTGAGGTTCAAAGAAAGAACTTTGCGTTCATATTGAACCTATTTTGATCAACTCATATATATCGTCTGTGGGGGATTTGTTGACACGCGAAGGAAGGAGAAATTTGCACTGTCCGTCAATGCGTTACATAAATGTACATATTGGTTTTACAAAACTATATCGGTATCCTGCAAAAACCGTAGTCAATGGTACATCGTATTCACTTCCAATGTAATGACAGAATCGAATAATATAACAAGTAGAATATTATTTCAATTTCACAGTCAGCGTTCGTACACCCTACCGAGGGGTCAATTTGATAATATTCGGTTCCCGATGTCTCTAGCAAGTTCTTACTTAAAAATATAAGGAAAATCGAATATACAATTGCCCAAAGATGCAGTTTACAATTTAGAACTAGAGCACAGAGCTTCATCTTGCATTATTGATGATGATTCAATTTGGAACTTTATTCATGAAGTGGGGACAAATTATAGTATTATTATAATTTCATTTACATCCAGTTCTCCCTCGCATTCTATTTAATATACGAACTAAGTAATTTATCTTTTCGCGACCTTTCAAATGAACCGGAAAGTAGAGTGCTTTTCCCAAAAGTGTATTTTTTTCTTTAGAATTAGCCAATATTATCCTCCTAGGTCTTTAGATTGTCCCGTTTACGAGCAAAACGTCAACAACGTGTTTCCAATAACAATAAATCTTAGCAGTTTTATATGGTTTTCCAGGCGTCGTGCCTTTCGAAGCACAGTCTGTTTCCACTGTATTGACACTGCATTCTGAAAATGTTCCCGTCTCCACTGTAGTTTTTTAAAATATTTTAAAATATACATATATACTAATGATCGTTATCAAACTCTGTCTGGCCGTCT